GGGTGTACCCCGCCCTTCACACTGTGACTGCTGGATCTGGGCACCATAATATTTTACACAGTTCAGCCTAGTAATAGTAAAGGTAATTTTACTGTTGTCATCATATTTACAACTTTCCTGTTATCCTAATATATATAGTTAGCCTTTTGATACTTTAGTAAGTTTGTTGTTGCCGTTAGCTGCAATTTCATCATATAAAAGGCAAAGAGTTAAAGTGAAAATGATGACAGGTATTTAAAAAATTGGTCTAAAAAGACAGAAAAGCTTGAAACCAATAAAAAACTAGACATGGGTTTTTATGATGTAAAAACAACTGTGCATTGCCATGTAGCATGGCTTTGCCTGCAACAGTGCACTTGCAGAATGAGCTGTGACCAAGTTCTAATGTGTTTTTTATACCAGCTTGTGCTTGTCAAGTCAGCAGGTATTTGTAATGAGGGTAATTGTGTGACAATATGAAGTTTGTAGAGATTTTCTGTTAAAGTTGTATTAGCTGGGTTTTGAACCCTGTTCTCCCACATGAAAGCCCATGGCATTGAGCATTAGACCATTGGAGCTGTGGCAGAGGGGATTGCCAGGGGTTGTTTGTATGTGTGCAGAAAGAGGCCACATTGCCAATACAATTATTGACACTAAACTGCATAATATTATAACAATAGAGCAGTATTAAGACAACATTATAGTAAAACATCAAAATACAATCATATTAGTATTGTAACCACTGAACTATTGAGATCAAATATTATTAAACTATGGTTCAGTACCAAGTTGAGTACAGCATGGGGCAGTATTGGACCAATACAAGGCTCTATTGACTCCCATTATAAATTATTAAACATTAATATTTCAAAAACTAAAAGTTGTACAGGCACCAAAAGGCATAGCCATCATTTGGCACAGGAGTTTTACAGATATGAATTAGAATGGCTGCTGTAGGATAAAGTATGCAGGAGGAGAAGCGTGCCAACGTGGAGATAACTTGGATGGGAAACGAATCCAATAGTGTGCATCGCATTGGCAATGCACACTGAAAAGGAAACAAAGCGTCTCGTCTTCTTTAATAAGTACAAAGTTTTTACCTGTGAAATAAACACTCAGTGACTCTGGCAGACCTGTGGGGGTTAGACAAGGAGACGATCATAATAAACACACGTTTCGATCCAAGCAGCTGACAGATGCGACCGCGAGGCGTTCAGAGTCGTACCAGTGAAGGAGAACTGGTACAGCTCCTGCAGGTGGGCCGGCGCCGGCGGCGGTCTGTAGATGATCTTGCCGTTGTCGATGTCGGCCTGCGTGAAAAACTTTGTGGCTTTGTAGGGTCTGTCCCGGTGCTCGATGGTCCCTGGAAACAAACCTGACTGTGAACCTGGAGTTATTTTACAAAGATTCAAACTCACAGTTTTACTGATGAAACAGAATATTTTATATTTTCTCTTGTTTGTAAATAAAACATGAAAATATCAGTTTAAATCTGAACTCTTTACTTTTGTCTAAACGTTCTTCAGCAGGTTTTCTGCATGTTAGATGATGAATTAGAACTGCGAGGCCTTTTTCTGAGCCATTAGTCTGAGCTGTAAGTTCTGCATTAATCTGACGGGTCCATGTTAGAATTAATGCTTTTAGTTCTGAAAACCAGCAGAAAGGAACACTTACTCCTACAGAACCACTTCAAACTGTGATTAAGTCATTCAGGGTGAATTAGAAGGCAAGAAACAAAACTAAACCAGGTCTTTTTAAATTTTATTTCTAATCTTTCTGAAAGGTTTATAAGATAAGAACCGTTTCCACGCAGAAAATGCTTTAAAAGCCAAATTAAACATCAGTTTTTTGTTACTTTAAGGACCTTTTCTCATCTAGTTGCTTACCCTGTCAAGACCTTATGAGGACCAGAACTGCAGTTTTGGGTTAAGGGTTGGCTTTAGGGCTGAGGTAGGGTTAGACATGTTCTAGTTCAGGTCAGGTTTCAGCTACAGAAATGAATGGGAGTCAGCAGAAGGTCCCGCCAGGGTCCTAAAAAAAGGAAGTGGTCTAACCTTGTCCTGGGAGGAGAGGTTTGGTGATGTTGTACACGAGTTTCTCGCTGGGAGTCTCAGAGTCGATGAAGGACAGAGCTGAAGGAGTGATCTCCGTCACCTGATCCTCCAGAGCCTCCACAAACAAACAAACAAACAAACAAACAAACAAACAAACAAACAAACAAACAAACAAACAAACAAACAAACAAACAAACAAACAAACAAACAGACGAGTTG